AATATATTATAAAAATGTGATAGTGATTATAAATATTAATGTGATTATATAAGGGTATTTTAGTTATAAAAAAAAATTAAATATAAAATTATGTGATTATATAGAGGTTGTGATTATAGAAGGGGTGACTATAGAGGGGAATGACTGTACAATAATTTAAAAATAAAAAAGAAAACAATTTAAAAAAAGGAATGAATATAAAATTAATATTTGTTGAGAATGCAAGAAGAATTATAATAAACAAAATCAAAGTGATCTTGCCAAAGAATATGAATCGAAATTTAATTCAATTTTTTAAAAACCAATTTTTCGTTGCAAATAATTAGAATAAATAAAGGCTTTGTTTGAATGAAAATGGATTTTGCCAAAAAATAGAATTGAAATTTTGCAAAATTTTTAAAACTGATTTTCATTGAAAATAGCATTAAATGTAGCTTGAGGAAAAAAATGAAACATAAAAGAAGCTACACACGTTCGGAGGAATATAGTAATAATATCATTGTTACCTAATATTTTCGTAATAAAGCCAGTATCTGAAACAACATTTTTACTGATAGAATATCGTTTTTGTTCATAGCTATCAAGAATTTTATTAACATCAACTACATGATTCCGAATAGCTAGAACCAATTTGAATGCTAGGTTATAAGCATTCTAAATTCTTAAATTCATACCTTGACCTCCAATTGGTGAATGACAGTGAGCAGAATCTTTTTTTTTTTTGATTAAAAAAATTATATATATATATAATAAATATTATTGTAAGAGCCATGACAAATATTACGTAATATCCTGGGGGGTGTCAGCCAAATATCTTATATTACACATATATAATATATATAATTATATATATATATATATATATTTTAACGATACCGCCTCTTTATTACTCATTATAGTGGAATGTACACAAATGTACATTATTTTTACAAGATTTTCAGTACATCATTGGTTACAAATTTCTAACTAGTACCTGTTATGCTGCCATCACCGAGTTCGTATCTCAAGCTACCTTTTAAGGTATTGCCAAAACCCAGTTTGTATCTTAAGCCACAACCTTCTTAATTAGTTATCTCTTACTACAGATGTCCCAGATCCCTCCCCCTGCGGTGTTTTAGTTCTCGAACTTCTATAACTATCTTGAGTGAGATGTACCAAACCTTACGGCCCAGTATAGTTATATTAACCCCATTTACCTCACCATTGGTCCTCACATCTCGTGAAGTTTGCTTACCCCGACTCCGGGTGCCTCCAGATCATTGGATGGCAGAATATTTCCATTTTGCTAGATATCACATGTCCCATACATGTGTTCTTTATATAGACTTCGGTAATCTACGCCACGGCTCTACCCCTGTACTTGGGGTCAGGACTAACCATTGAACCCTTGTAATTACTTACTTCTGCTCTTATTAGATTCCCAACAACTCTGATACCCGCATTTGGACTGTCTTCTTATCTGGATTTTTTATTGGTCTCTCTTTTACTTCCAGCCGGCAACCCGGAAGAGTCAGTCTGCCTAGGCTTTAGGTATTTGAAGGACACCCTCCCCTTGGTACATACTTTCGGAGCATATGTCCTTTTTCTCTGATGTGACAGAACTCGGCGGTTCAGCTAGTGTGTCCTCTGCCATTAGGACCTAGTCGTTCGGTTCTCCGATCTCGGACCCCAGTTCGAATTCAGCCCTTTGTGATACCATCGAAGATCATTGTTACTCCTAACTCGGGACTTCCCAAATGGGTTTTCGGTTATGCCAATTTCTCAGGTTTATTGCACCATTGCTCCCATTACTAGATGATACATTAGCAAAAATATATATGCGTAAACTTTCATAAGTTTTTACAGCGCGTAAGAAAATTGTAAACTTACGTAAAATTTAGCGTAAAACTACGTAAATCTTACGATGCGTAAGAAAATCGTAAATTTACGTAAAACTTTTACGTAAATTTATGAGTTTCTTACGCACCGTAAGATTTACGTAAACCAACGTAAAATTTTTACGTAAATTTACGATTTTCTTACGCACCG